TGATTGGCTTATAGGTGGGGCATAGAACGGACATAACTCGTAATAGCCAGTGGTGGCGCAACGATCGATCCCAGGAATTCCAGCCTTGTTTGATAAGGGTTTTGAAACTGGACTTTTAGAGTCAGATAACTCCCTTGCGTCGGGAAGATGCTTGTATCCATGTGGGGAATCGACCCGGGTTTTCGGCGTAACGAGCGAACGCTTTAGCCATTTGGCTACTCCACCGCCCCCTATGTTGAAGAACGTCACATCTCGTAGTTCTGTTGACATGAGGCAAAGCCATTGATCTACAGATCAACTTATATGGATAGAATGTTGGTGCTCTTTGGGAACATTGAAACCATTAGGTATTTTGGAAAAATGAAGTTTTAAAGAAACCTATTGAAGTGGTTTCCACGATGCCAATACGTTATTTACTGTTTACATGTTCCCTTCTGATATTTTCTAATTTTAGGGTCAAATTATCACAAAGTAATACAAGTCCTCAATGTGGTTACAGCTGCAACACATACGTACGATATGATTTAGGAATGTTTCGTCTGCCAATGTCAGCTTTCACGTACAGAGTTGATACGGTTAGAAATCATTCTTTATCACCCATAGGATTAGACATAACCAAGTTCCTAAAAATCGTATACGCACTAGTAGCAAAAATCACTTCTCGCGCATCAGGTTATTGTTTCTGTCATTCGGAAGGCATTATTGACGTCATTCGACGTCAAGCGGAATTTGATCCAGGCGTGTGAGATACAATGAGAACGTTTTTACGTAGCTTTCCTAAAATGTGGCGAGTAACTCAATTTAAAGTGTTTTTTCACTCTGTTCATATAACCAGTAGGCCACTTCGTCATTAGCACTGTTAGAAAAGATGAAAAGTGTATTCCCAATTTACCCCCATCAATGGACATTCACGCTCCATGCAAGAGTTAATAGATGGATGGATGGGTGGATATAGATAGATGACGATAAGGGTGGCCATCATAAGTTTGCTTCTTCTATTCGTTCCACATCATTTTCTCACGGATTTGGAGTCTGTCTCAGTCACTTGGCGACAAACCATTATTCATTAATAGTTTTAAAAATGCTTTGATAACATTGTTCTCTCAGTCATGGAAGAGTACATTCATGCCTACTTCTGTGTACACCATGTATAAAGACTTTAAAAGTCTCCTGGAAACAGAAAAATACCTTTCTCTTATTGCTGAAATAAACTATCGAAATGTTAGGATAGGGCTTAGAGCCGGGCTACAACAACTTAAGTAAATGAGTGAGTGAGTGAGTTGGGTTTAGCGCCACTTTTAACAATATTCCAGTTATATCACGGCGTGTCAGCTTAATGTGGGAGGAAAGCCCGAAGTGATGCAGGTCTCAGACGTTTACCACTTCGGTGAAACCCACGAGCACGGGTATGGTGCTGACAAACCTAGAAACATAATAGGGGCGAACCGGGGTTCGAACCTACAATCATTGGTTCCTGGCGTGCCCAAGGGACGTAACTCTGCACAGCCAGCCGTGCCCCCTAAGGTAAATGAAGGTAGACGGGCTGATGTTGACATACGATTACGGCTCTGCCCTACATGTGAAACAAATATGGAGAATGAAGATCATTTTACTTTAGAATGTTAATATTACAATGATATTAGACAACTGTACTTACCAACAACTTTTTGCCATAACCCAAAATATGTATAAATTTAAAATGCTGCTGTCATCCCCATGTAAGGTGAGGTGAAATGGGGTTTAACGTCGCGTCCAAGATTATAGCGACGTGCATGCACGTGTGTGTGGCTGTTTGTACTAGTCCGGACTGATTTATAGTGCTAGCTCGCTGAGATACCATGCCGCAGTTTAACATGAATACCCCACTCAGACACAGTATACTGAGTCCGAGCCGACCAGTCCTTGTTTTAGCCCCTTAATGCTGAGCGCCAGACAGGGTAACAAGGACCATCTTTTAACGTCTTTTGGTATGGCGCGGTCGGGGATCGAACCCCGGACCTTCCGCTCTCCGGGCGGACGCTCTACAACTAGACCACGGAGGCGGTCCCATCCCCATGTTACCAATTATTGGGACAACTATGTAAATACCTCCATTACAGCTGGGAAAGAAGACGTAATTACTTCAAAGCCTGGAAATCTGTAAACTTGTACCTTTTTGTCATGTACCACACTATTTCAAATGAATCTATTTATTTACGGCCAGTGGCCTTTTTACAAATAAAAGACTTTACTGATAGACAGACACAGACAGATAGTGAGTATTGTTTTACGCCGCTTTTAGCAATATTCCAGCAATATCACGGCGGTGATAGATAGATAGATAGATAGATAGATAGATAGATAGATAGATAGGCTCAATAATACACATTTCATATTCAAATATTACTGAGGAAATTCAACGATCGGAATATACTTTAATGCTGCCACACGTGTCACTCGGCTGTCTCATAAAAAATTCAGATTGGGCCCTAGTGATCTACATGGCTATAAATAATGCGATGTCTTTATCCGCGGCCTAGCCATGCAGCTATATCATTGTTGTGTGTAAATATAAGGACGTGCCACTATCTACTAACGACCCTACTCCGAGGACAGTAGATCAAAGTGTTATATCTGCACGAATGGTTTCAACACATATACTGCTTCGTGGGGCAAGACGGACATCACCGATAACATGTAGGTGTTAAAAACGACAGGAAAACTGAAATTCACAATTTCTTCAGAAACGACCGAGGTTGCCATCTGTAAATAATAGCTCTGAGTGTAAGGGCGGTCGTTGGCAATAGCTTACCCCACATATGCCTCTCCCCTGCACGTGCTTTAGGTGACGGCCAGGTGCACGTGTAGATGATGCATTTCGGGTTTTAACGCAAAGTCTTGAAGTCGATTGTCAATATCATGAAGAATTTCTACTTGGTGACCAGTGTATTTACCGACTATTACCGACTCAGAAATCTACAAAGCTATAAACCATTTACAAAATGGTAAATCGCGGTTATTGAAATTTGAAAATGTTGTGAAAAATAGTATAACTCCTTTAATACGGAACTTGTTCAACAAGTTATTTGATTCTGGATAGGTTCCCGAGAACTGGATGAAAGCTAACAAAAACTATCCAGATGACCTATCTCTATTGCTTACACAAATATCTTTAACTCTAGACTAACAAACATTCGTGACCAACTCGTTTTATTCCTGGACAAGCCGAATAGCGACTCGTGCCCCTCATTCGTCACCACTCGCCTCTTTCCGTAACCCGCAAGAAGACTCGTCCCCCTATCAATGAATGTTATGCGCGAAAATACGACCAACCAGTCAGAATGCGCGTATGACTTCACGTACTTCGGTCAAAGAATCCCTCAAGAATTTATATATTTTATTTTAAACATGTCTTGCTTCTAAAAATATAACCGAGATACAATTAAACGTGTTCAATCATACCTTATAAATACCGTAAGTCCTGATGTTTTTTAAATAGCATCTGGAATATATGGGGGAAATATACGTGAATCATTACGCAACGAGTAGTTTATAAATTTGTTTACAAAACATTAATTTAAGAAGAATAGATTGAGAGTTTTCTTAAAAACATGGCCTTTACAAATACCGGTACATTGAATGAGGTATCATCACAAGTCTTAACGAAAACTGTCAATACATTCTTTTTTATTCATGTTTTGTCTGCTTTCGATACAGGTACAGTATATTAGCAACATCTTAAATAAATAAATTGGTTAATGTTTCTTCGATCTTGTGTACGATACCAGTAACTAAGAGACGGAACCCTTTTTGAAATTATTTTTCGCTAATACGGGCATTAGTTTACCGCGCACAGCTCATAGCGCTAATTGGGTCCGCAGGCTGAATCTCTCGCTTCACTGATCACGTATGCCACTCCCATCCTGTGGGTTAGTTTAGTAATGGTTGCATTCGTGACCAACTCGTATTATTCCGGGACAAGCCGAATAGCTTCTTGCAGGTTACGGAAAGAGGCGAGTGGTGACGAATGTAATGGTTGGGGCCGGTTCCCTCTATCCCAAGCTCTTGGATCCGCTTTCCCAACAGACAACCCGTTAGGATCATAAGCGTTAGGCACTTCTTTCAAATCATACACCACTTCATGATCTTTTTCTGTTGGGAGTCCGTCGCCAATCATACACGATCCTTATGGTTATTTATTTAGCGGTGAGTTAGGGAATGGTTAGCTTTTAACGATTTAATACAATGTTATATGAGGACAATCGTAAATTTTGTTTATCAACTGTCGTATTTCGCGGAGAACAATGGCTAACAAGGTAACAAGGGTGTGTGTGTGGGGGGGGGGGGGGGGGGGGGGGGGGGTTGGACTTTTTCGAGAGATAACGGACGGGTGTTTGAATGGCGTGAATCAAAATTGCTCTCACTGCGAATTGACCGAGCCTTGTTTTTTTAATCAATACAACATTTTTCTGTCGTTGATCCTCGTGTATGCGTAGTCAGATCTATATTTGCCTTGAGTAGAGAGAATAAATGTAGTATTTTGACACTTTCTATATTAAATAGAATCAGACATACAAACAGGGCAGGTCTTGCAAGCATATTGGACGTTTGACATGTTTGTTGTTTTACGTAGCAATCGCCAATATTCAAGCCAAATTAAGTCGGTTGGTAAATAATGGGGCCTGGACCAGACAATCGTGTGATTCACAACATGAGCATCGGTCTACGCAATTGGGATACGATAACATGCAATCGGCCATGTCACCGAGCCTAACTACCCGATCCATTTAGTTGCCTCGTTCGACAAGCATTGGTTGCTGGAGACCTATATTCTTATCTGGGACCCCACTCGTCGTGTTTAAATGATAATCTTATTGAAATATTGTTCCAGTGTATTGCCATTTTCATATGCAAATCATGGAAGACATTTAAATCTGATAATTTGGGAACGACGTTTGAGAGTGTAGATATATGTTGATTATTATTTTGATATAATTCAAAATCTAATTCAGCAGGTGCTCATCCGACAAACGAATCATGCTTTGACTAAGGACGAGAGTTACCTCCCTTCACTACATAGGTGGCAGTGCAGTCTGGCCTGTTTTGACGATGGCGACGAATTCACCACCTGAAAGTCCGACAGAAGACAAACCAGCTAGTAAAAAGCCTAAAGGTAGCGATCAGTTTAGTGTTTTATGATCTGTACATTGTATATGATGTAAATAATCAAACTGCTAATCTGTGAGTCCATTAAACATGTCAAATCGATAATAGCATGATGTCAAATATCCAGGTTGCTCTGTTTCCGTCATCTCATTTTGTTTACGGCTGATGGTAATGTCGCAATTCCGACATAATCAGGTGATAATGTCACTAGAAACAACTGTCGTCTGTTGATATTGTGTACATTCGTAATATATCTGTTAATCTAATGATCGGAAAGTGGCCGTATTATGTGAATCTGTGACAGTTGCCAATTGGTTGGGTTGGGTGTGTCTCTGTGTGTGTTTTTTTTTGGTGTGTTTTTGTGTGTAGGTTTTGTTTGTTGGGGTTGGGGGAGAGAAGGGGGACCAAACGTGCAATTTCAGGAGCACACTGCACATTCTGCAGTTACCATATCTTTTCACCATTTATCTGTTTATCATTATTACGTGAGCATGGTGAGGGAATAGCATCATTAGCATGTATAGACCTAGTATGACTACATTATCGCGGTATCGGTAATTCTCATGATCCACACCCTTGTCATCTGTATATTTATGCCAGTCTAAGCACGATAGTTCATCACTTATTGAATCAGGATTCATTGTGATATGTCACGGCTACTCATAAGTATACACGTTAACTATTTTTATGATAGAAATTAGAATGTTTTTGAAGTGGAATTACCCTTTCCTCGATTCTAAATTGGTTAGAAAAGAACTCCTTTGTTTGGTCAATGTCCCTTCCCATTTGTTCGTATGATGTCCTTTGACCAAACCTAGGTTGTATACATACTGATTATGAATAGTCCAAAACAGGAAGTGATGCAAACCACATATTCCACACGTATCACACCACAAAATAATGATACTGTTATAATATAGACTTGCCCGTCCTTGAGTCGCTAATGGCAGGTACTTTGATTACCAAAGTCAGTAAAGAGAGTCAGCATCTATTAATCCTAATGTCATAAAAGCTAAACAAGGAACAAGAAACATTTTGTGTAAGTCATATTTAATAGGTGGTAAGCATGCACCATTATAATCCATTATGAATTAACTACCCAATAATATAGCGTAACATGATATATACCATGTTAAATCAATGGCCAGAAACACATTGGTCTAAGCGGCCACAAAGAAAGTCAAAAGGGCCATAAACCCCTCATCAAAATGGCCACACCAACAGGGCCACACTGAAAAGTCAGAACGGCCACAAACAAAAAGTGGCGACAAAAGTTTACATATTGTATGTTTTATATCTTTATTCATTTCATAACAAATATATTTAACCATTTGTAACAGTAGGCATGCATCAGCATCACAAAGCACATGTTTTTTTATCATTACTTTTCTAGTTCTTAATCTGGGGTCTTCCTTCTAGTCGAGCATATAAATACAAATTCACCTAAGTATTAGTGGTGGGAAGATACACCGACTCATCGGTGGATCACGATTTTTTACATCTCGATACAAGTATCGATCATAGTCGCACACTAAGTAACAAATATTGATTCTGACCTTGGATGAATCCTTTAATAACTGTTCCACTAAACACTAATCAGTAGTGCAAGTTAATAGTGAAAAAATAAATATTTCCATCCATTGCGCCGTACTTGACACTGCCAACTGTAAATCATAGGTGTGCCAGGTATATTTGGCCATCGTGTCTATGAAAAAGATGGCTTACACACCACAGATAAGAGCACATGCAAGTATCGTGATACATATTGGATCATATCAATGACTGACTGCAGTATAAATAAAACAATCAATAGTGGGAATTTTTGTTCCATATGCATGTAAAAATAATGATTATGATTCTGGACTCATGGTCATTTTGAAATGGAAAACAAAATAGAAAAATAACATCATTAATACTTTGTCCCAGATTGTGAAAAGTAAACCCAATCAACAGGCAGCAACAAAAACACAGGTGGTCTTTTGCTGATTCAGCTGTCATTGACAATTGAAAAACTAATGTCAGTGATCTGCTTATTGTGCAGGTCTTTCCATGCTTATTGATCTCTTTGAAGTCTAAGCATTTGTCATGCTTGTTATGCAAGTAAATGCCGTAGCATCATGATTAGCTGCTGATGCTGAGTACCATCGTGCTGACGATGCCGCAGGGGTTACACGTTCTGGTCTCTGGTCCTTCTTTCAGCTTGGTCCCCAAATTCTTCAATCCCCACAATTTTAATCATTTTGTTAGTTTGCCAATTGTATATTTCAATGCGTTCAAGCAGCCTTGGTAATTTCCATATATGAAAACAAAATTCTGTCATGTACTTAAGATAATGTTAGTACTTTCCTTTATATGACCGTGTTCAAAATGAACAATATGGATAGTCGAGAGCACTGAAAATTTGTGAAAAAAAACCAAGTTTTTTTGGATGCTATATAGAGCCACCAATCAGGACATGTTTTGTTTGTATATGATCAATCATTATCTTTTGTTGAATATATTTCGTAATTCAGATTAAAATAATATAATAATTAATTTCTGGTCCATCGGACCAAATGGTTATTAAAACGTTTGGTCCCACATGAAATGTGTCTGGTCTCAGACCTTGGATCTGTGGAATTTTCAGCTGCTGACATGGACACTTGTATAACAATGGGGTGAAAGCACGCCCCCTATGTTCCCCAAGGAAAGGGAGTTAACTGACTAAAAGTACAGCTTCCACCCTTGCTGAACTAGGCTGGAATTTCTTGGCTCAATCGTAGCGCCACCAGTGGCTATTATGAGTTATGTCCCTCCTTTGTCCCTCCAGTTGACCAATCAGATTCCACCTCTCACACTATTTGCATTTTCTTCAAACAAAAGGGCAGCACCCAGTCAAGATAGTCTGATCGATAATCAAAATCTATTTTGTAATATAAAGGGTCTTACTTCACAAAGTACATTCATTCACATGAGCACCTTGATTAAAAGCATGAAAAGATTTGGAAAATATCTGTTCATGCTGAATTGGCGAATTTGCAATTCCTGCAATCGACATGATCGAGTGAAATCTGCATGAGAGTTTACGAACCAGATGTTGATTTCGTTTCGAGATTTTGATTGGACTATGCATAGATTTGTAAGTCCAACCAAAATGTAACTCCATAACACCAGCCAAGTTCTGCAAGCGTCAAAACTGGACTTTTATGATCAGTTAACTCCCTGAGTCCTCAGTCGAGGATTTTCCTGGGTCTATCGATTATTTTAGTCATATTTAGGGGGGTTCCAAGGCACAAACAAGACTTACACCTTATACAATCTCATTAAAATCAGATCTTAGTCCCCGCTACCACTAAACAAAGATCTGAGGACATCCTTTTGACCTTTCTCGTGTTTCATGGCACTAGTTCCAAACTGGTGACTTGCTTTGAAACATATTTTGACAAATTCTTGGTTAAATATTTGATAAGGGAACAAACAAACATTCTGGATTGGCTAATAGATGGCCTAGATTGTATAGATTCAGTCATAAACGGGGTAAGGCAATAATAAAAAAATAAAAAGATACCAGAAGTAAGTATCAATGCGATAATGACCCCTAACTTGCAGAAGACGGAACATTCCGAGGAAATTGAAATTGTTTACGGAGCGAGCACTTCCTGGTTACTGATTGTCATAACAGACACCCGCTAAAAGGCATGTCCCGCGTGAGCGACCGGAAATCACAAATGTCGCGATACGATGAATGCCGCGGTACCACGAGGTCAGAGTATACACGGAATATGCCAGAAATAACATGAAAAAATGGCGATAACTGGTCGCTAGCTTCGACGTGTATCCAGTCCAGAATGACATGTTGACATGTTTTAACTGTTCGAAGATAGGGTATGTGAAAATAGGAAGGCGGATGCCCCGATGCACACGCGACCCGCCAGTCACGACCTTGGGTGGATTGTTGTGGCCCCTCTCGGCAGTGGGTGATTTTACATAGCGCTTTAATTACTTTCGCGGAGGTCGCGGGTGACAGCACAGCCACGGTGATTGAATTAATTAGTATCAAGCGCTTCACTGAGTACTGCGGACCGCACCGTCTCGCGTACAAGACACGGCAGAGCCGTCACGCGTACACGTTACGTCTGTGACTGATAAAGCATGTACCTGTTCGGAATACCCTGTGTTTATGTCTTTCGAGGTTGCTTTGATCAAAATGATCTGGTAAGCAGTGCTCTGATTGGTTGGATGAACGGCAATTCTGACATGACCCGTAATGGGACTCTAGAACTAGTACCAATTTCTATCGCTGCAACCTGCAATTTTGATTAACAGGCAATACCTTTTTGTGTCCCCCAGGATGTGCAATGAGGTTGAGTTACATCCATTTTCAATTTGTATATGTACAAGATGCAATATTTTGTGTCCAGCAAAACCTTGGTGCTTGGATGATATCGCCATGAGTTGTCTGACAATGTCTGCATGGATATGTCTATGATTTGACTGATGCAATGCTGGAGCCATAGGTATCGGATAACTATCTTAATGATGCTTTGCTTACCATGATTTCAGATACAAAGTTCAAGCAGCAGAAACTTCCAGCATGGCAGCCGATCCTGACAGCGAACACGGTTCTCCCCGCATTCTTCGCCATCGGCATTGCCTTCATCCCTCTCGGCGTAGCCCTGCTAGTCACGTCAGATAACGTAACTATGATACATAACTGGGATCATTGGGGGCGAACTTGAAATAATATCTGAGAAACCATTAACAACTATGTCTATCATCATCTGTTTAATGAATAAGAGTACCAGTTGCAATAGAAAAAATATGAAAATAACATGGAGATAATAATTTATTAGACCATAATGCCTCAGATGTTAAATGAGGACTTTATCCTCCCTACATCAACGTCATGACGAAGGCTTGGGGTCGATTCCCAACATGCGCACTGTATTCTTCACGATAGTATTGATGTCATGTCATAGGTCATAGGTCAATGTGCGATCCTGCAATGCGTCATCATAATAAATTTTAGAATATGATGTCCCATAATGCATCATTCATGGAACATGTGGCCAACACATTGTTAGACTAAAGAGAACACAGAATGTTACAAGCAACATGGATGTCTTTATGTCATATCAACATTACAGGTAAAATGTGTAAAGTACAATTCTGGCATTCTTCTCCATGCTTTTGCTGGAATATTGCCAAAAGCAATGTAAAACATCGTCACTCACACACTTCTTGTATATGACCGCCTCCGTTGTCTGGTGGTAGAGCGTATACCCGGAGAGCAGAAGGTTGGGGGCTCAATCCCCAGCAACGTCATACCAAAAGACATTTAAGGATGGTACTTGTTGTTACCCTTTCTGGCGCTCAGCATTCAGGGGCTAAATCAAGGACTGGTTGGCTCAGAGTCAGAATGCACTGTCTGAGTGGGATGTTCATGTTAAACTGCGGCATGATATCTCAGTGTGCTGGCACTATAAAATCGGCATTGGTCCCGACAAGTACAAGCAGCCACACAAACACACAAGTACATGTGCATACATATTACAAGTCACTATATAAGTGCAACAATTTTGAACTCGATGATAAGGTCAGTTTCCCCTCCCCTGACCTCACTGCTTGTATACATATCATTTCAAATCCATTTGAGAAAATGAAGATCCGTGTTAGAATAGATCTACAGCAACCCATGCTTGCTGTAGAAAGGCCATGCTTGTCATAAGGGGCAACTAACAGGATCAGGTGGTCAGACTCGCTGACTTAGTTGATGCATGTCATCGTATCCCATCGCATGAATCAACACTGATGATGTCAATTATTTACAGACCGCCGTCATATAGCTGAAATATTGCTGATGCGGTGTTGAACAACAAACAAACAATTTAGAAATGGATGTGATGCCAGCAGTTAATTTATGAATATTAACATGATAAAATGTGTTCTCTCTATTTCAGATTAAGGAATATGTGTTGGACTACACACACTGTAACAACTCAAATATGCCCAACCAGACTTGCTCCGACTTCCTCAGTGACCCCAACACCACCACCTACCACATGACCTGCACCTGCAAGGCAACAGTGACACTTGACAAGTTCGAGGTCAGTTCTTTATCTGTCATGGTTGGAGGTAGCAGGGATGTAATCTGGCTCTATTGTCATCACAACTTAAAATAAAATCACAAAATACGGAGATGATTAATTATTGAAGTTAGCCGCATGTGTGCTAATACTTATAAAGTGAAAACAAACCATTCCAGCGATAAGGAATATTTACAGTAATGACAAATATTGCTAAGTGCGCCTTTCAAGATATATTCATTATGCTATTCATAGTCATCATCAGTGAGTTTTCATCACATGGTTGCAACATGTGCAATCTAACTGAGGCTTGGCAGACGGATATTTAGCAGCATGTGCAGTGCAGCATACTCAGTGATTTTGACACAAAAAGCTGTATACAGGTCAATGACTTGGACCCAAGAAATGTAATAAGTCAGTGGCAAAAGTCAACAAGTCACTTAAACAAAGATTCCGGATGCAGTAAAATTTCGAAGTTAAATCAGTACTTTTAAAAAATCGGGCATAGCTTCCGCACACCCGGCTACCCGCCGGGTCTGGGAGCAATACTGCCATCAACTTCACCCCCATCCCCCAGACACAAGGACAACTGTCACAAGCGTGCAATGTCTGACCTTTCCCCGTGTTGAAATATATTTTTTTTTTAAATAGCCTTGTACTTACTTACCTTTTGTTGAAAAAAACATTGCAAACATGACATTATTTCAACACATATCAAGGGTTATGGGTTTTCGGACACTGAAGAAACAGTCATAGTTTTCTCGCTGATCACATGAACAACTGTAAGTGTAAAACTTCTCATTCACTTATTCATAAAGGACAAATTTATCTTAGAATCAAGCCATCATCTGAGTATTAAGAAATTTCTGTGTGACACCTACCGTTATGGTGCAAGTATTCGTGATTGAAAACGTATGATGTCCGAAAACCTATGATCCGACGATAATAGTATTGTGTCATGAATAATAATAAAGGCATAATTGATGCTGAAAGTTCTGATCGAAAACAGGACAATCCGCGACGGTTCTCCGGAAACACGATATTTTCGGAGTATTTTTTTTAATCTTTGATTATATTTTTACGAGGAAGATGACTCTTTTCGAGGAACACTGTTTTAAAAAACGCGATTTTCAGCGTTTTTGCGGAGATTTCACATTGTTAGATCTAATTATTTACGTATTGAACAAATTGACCAGTCACCGAAGGGACTTCCCGTGCTACATGTATTTCGATTGCGAAAGTGTTATGTTGACATTTAATAGTCAAATTGCCTCAAATATGACTTTAAATGAGTCAAGGTATGGCATTAATGATATGTGTATCCATTCTCTTGCAAATAAAGTTCGTTTCAAGGCGTCAATAGCGGTAATCTGACCGTGGTTGCTGTAAATAACGGTGAGTTGTGCGATCTACCGATCACTTCGCATACGATTTCGCCAAAATTATTATAATTATTGAATAAATTTTTTAATAAAATCTATAAGATATATTGCAAACATAAGTCCAGATAAACAATGAACACCTTTTTATAACCAGATATTATAATAATAGGATTAAATTGCATACTTCAGTTCGGATTTGTTGACTGGTATTTCCGGTGTTACGTGATCGCGGTGATCAGTTGATTATGTTTTTTTGAGATGGGGGGAAAACATCGTGTCATTGGAAAACTTGAGTTTATTATAAACATAAGTAAATTTTTGGACCATGCTTCACCGCCTGCTATAACCGAGTAAGCGCTATTATTGACGGGCGCAATAGCGAGAGAACACTCACTGTATATGATGCTGAAAGCTCGGATCGAAAACAGGACAATATGTGTACTGTACATTCTCTCGATTGGCACTAAACTTTATGAGAGCATTTCATCGGGCATTAAAATCGATACCCTGAGTGGAATAATCCCTACTATTTAATCATGAAATTATGACACGTGTGACGGCTTGCTTAGCATTTCTATCGGTCAAAAGTCCAACAACTTAAACAAACCATCGGTCAAATAGAAATTTTATCGGTCTATGACCGGTGACCGATGACCATCTGAAACCCTGCATACTTACTAGGGCTGTTACGATTCACTTTGGCAGCGTTAGAAATTGGCGCTAGTCCTGTAGTCCTTACCAAACTGCCCAATAGTAAAGGTATCCCAAGGACGAGTATAAATTGGCCCATTTTAAGGGTATTGCTATATGTTATCATTATAAGGACTAGTGGACAAAAACTGTTCGGTGAATTGAACCGTATCCATTCATGAATTGAATTCATTATTTGTGGCCACTAGAATCGAATATTTATGAATATGCAAGCATGTGCATACCCCGTACCGAAACATATCCATAAGAACATTATATGTATAGATTTCTTCAAAGACAACACTCTTATAATATTTAATTTAACAGTATTGTGGTCACTGGTCATTGTCGCATTTGAGCAGATACTAGTACCTGGATAAGTGCAGTATATAAATGTATGATAAAAATAATGAACAAACCAATCAAATAATTTATGTTGTTAATGTTTCACTGAATATGACAAATAATACATTCACTGCTGACTTGTTATTGTATTCATGAATTAATATTCGTTTTCGTTACCCTATATTTTTGACACAAATTGTATTAGCCACATAGTGTACATGGTGTATTTGTTGCAGCCCTAACATTACATTACCAGCACAAACTTAAAGAAAACAAACTGGAGATGTATTAAAGTGGTATTGACAAAGTTTACTGCTGAATATGACTGCTTACAGTCACCTGACTGCCGATTCTGACCCGGATTGTAACCACGTGATCCAAATTCAGTGATGATGTTTATCCTTTGCATAATTTGTTGATGAGACATTTGGTTAGCTAAAGAGACCCATGCTTTGTTTATTTTACAATATAACTGAAAAGGCACGCTATGGAAGCATTCTGTGAAGGTGTAGTATATATTCAAGGGCATCGTCTAACTTCAGGGCAGTGTGTACATGTACTACGGCCTGACCAACTTCTACCAGAATCACCGTCGTTATGTCAGATCACGTGATGACAACCAGCTCAATGGACAGACAATCGCCCCTGGCAGCCTGAACCAAGACTGCGATCCATACAGGCTTTTCAACAGCACAGGTATCGCTCCTTGCGGTGCCATTGCAAACAGCCTCTTCAATGGTAAGAAATGTTAGAGTTGTTTGATAAACCATTTTTGAAATAATTCAACCGCCTTTTAGGACTTGAAATCTTAGAACTGTTTTAATGGTATGATGAGTTTGAGAATGAATGTTGTTTTATGCTCTGCTTTTAATTTCTTGCAACATTAAAATCAGACCTTACTGCTTGCTACTGCTACACAAATATCTGAGGACGTCCCATCAGAATGACCTTTCACGACCTTTGACCGACCAATGAAATGAAGAACAAGAAGTCACCATTAGCCAATCAGAAAGCAGCGTTATCGAGGTTTACTGCACCAGATTCAAACTTGCGATTTCCATTCCAGGCTACGCTTTAAATGATATTGATTCAAAATTGATTTCAAAAGTGAACAAAAGAATAGATGTTTGAGATTGTATAGCAGTACATGTACTTCACACGGGCTATGGAAAGTCTCTCCCTTCTATCCTAAACGACCGCCTCCGTGGTCTAGTGGTAGAGCGTCCGCCCGGAGAGCGGAAGGTCCGGGGTTCGATCCCCGACCACGTCATACCAAAAGACGTAAAAAGATGGTACTTGTTGTTACCCTCTCTGGCGCTCGGCATTAAGGGGCTAAAACAAGGACTGGTCGGCTCGGAGTCAGTATACTGTGTCTGAGTGGGGTATTCATGCTAAACTGCGGCATGGTATCTCAGTGAGCTAGCACTATAAATCGGCATCAGTCCGGACTAGTACAAGCAGCCACACAAACACACACACGTACATGCACATCGCTATATAAGTGCAATAATCTTGGACGCGACGTTAAACCTCATTTCACCTCACCTCACCTATCCCAAACGACAGATAGACAATGAGTTTGACTGAATGCAGCCTGTAGCTGTTGTGTGTTAACCTTTTCAAGGTTGCATGATTACAAACCACATTCTCACAGTCACTTTCCCAATCTGGTAAGCAATACTCTGATTTTTTGGATGAAAAGATCATTCTGATGTGCTCTGTAATGCATGTCCTCAGATCTTTGTTTAATGGTAGCGAGAACTAAGATCTAATTTCAATAAGAATGGCCATGTTACAGCTACCGTTATATGTTGCTAGTCTCTCCACCAAAAGTATGCTGTTGTGTTGGGATATAAATTCTTTCTAACAGTGATCCATTCTGTGGTAATACCTTAGTTATTGACCGATAAGGGAGGGCTTGTACCACATTTAGGATGAGTGTCTGGTTGATATGTGGGGGATCGGGATGCCCATTCATCTAAGGGGCCACAATCTACTCTGCAGCATTGCATCCATTGAGCATGCCAAAAGTTTATGGGTTTCAATTCCAGTTCACCCAGATTATGTTTCTAGGTCTGTCAACACAATACCTGTACTCGTGGGTTTCACCAAGGCAAACATCTGACACCTGCATCACTTCAGACTTGATGGGATCACTCCCACATTAAGCTGACACTAGTGATATGACTGGGATACTGTTAAAAGCAGCATTAAACCCAAATCACTCACACTCTTACTCTGAGTTTCCCTGAGTCACAAGCATTATCTGACTCCTTCAGTAAACAGTCTGTAGTTTCAGTCAAAAACTTTGCGGAAACAGACCTGTGAAGTTCCTGGTTAGAATAGGTCTTCAGCAACCCATGTTTGCTGTAAGAGGTGAATATGCTTGTCGTAAGAGATGACTTACATGATCAGGTGGTTGGGCTCTCATCATATCCATATTGCGTGGATCAATGCTTATGATATAAATCACTGGATTGTCTGGTCCAGATTATTAACAGACAGCCGTCATATAACTGGAATATTGCTGAGTGTGGCATTAAACAACAAACAAACAAACAAATAATTATAATAATATATAATTATTGAAATATTGTTCATAGTGGAGTTTCACTTTCCTGTATAAAGCATGTCAATGCACCAATACTTTGGTGACTCGTTACCACGCCATTCATGTCTATTGCATTGTTCCTTAACATACTCAAGTCTGTTTCAATTGTTTGCAGACTCGTTCACACTAACCTACAAAGCGAACAGCACAACAACTGCGAATGTCACCCTGTTGAGAACCGGAATCGCATGGGTGTCTGACAAGAATGTCAAGTTCAACAACCCCTCTTGTGAGATATTGTTCATTCGGATTTATTGGCCCAGTCATGGGTGGCCCAGTCATCTAAGGTGCTGCGATTCTCTGTGCAGAGTTGCGTCCCTTGAGCACACCAGTAACCTATGATTGTGGGTTCGAATCCCGGTTCTCCTCGATTATGTTTCTAGGTTTGTCAGCACCATACCCGTGCTCGTGGGTTTCACCGATATGTTAAACGTCTAAGACCTGCATAACTTCGGGCTTTCCTCCCACATTAAGCTGACACGCTGCGATATAACTGGAATACTGTTAAAATTCTGCGTTAAACCCAACTCACTCACTCACTATTACATACAAAAGTAAAGTATTTTCATGTAAAAGAAAAATGTTTGTGCACATGCATCATACTTTGTTTCAAGGCTAATCTCGTGTTAATTCAAGTCACATTGAAAAGCCCCTCAATTCATTAAACTCAGCCAATGCTGCTTTAGTCCATAGTTTCTCAAACCCCGAGAGTTCACATTTGATTTTATCGTGGTAGAATGGAGATAAACATGCTGTGTTTTCAACATAGAGATAGGTTAACTATAGGTTAAAGATTTAGCATTAACATCCCAAGTTTAATTTAGCGCAGTGGGTAACCTAGCTTCACATAACTCACACAGTAGTTCATAGGGTAGGCACAATACACCAACTCCAACATGTCCAATACGTATCACGATGCCTTGTTCACAATCAGATACATGTCACGATACTTACATGTGCTCTTATCTGTGGTACATAAGCCATCTTTTTCATAGACAGGATGGCCAAATACCTGGCACTCTGACAATTTACAGTTTGAAGTGTCTAGTATGGAGCAGTGAATGAAAATATTTGCGTTTTTACTACTAATTTTCACTAATAATTAGTGTTTGGTCAAACAGTTATTAAAGCAAACATTTAAGATGAGAATTGATATTTTTAACTTAGTGTGTGACTGTGATTGATACTTAAAAACCGCAATCCACTCATGCATCGATGTATCATCCCACTACAAGTACTGTAAACAGGGAATTTTTTGCGACCGTTTTATTATTGCGAGTTTTGCGAACGAGACTCAATCGCAAAAATTAAAAACGCAAAAATAAGTATAAATAATACATACATACTTTATTCATTGCAACACGTCATCAAATGTTGAAATCATCAACCAGAACCACAAGTTACTCCAAAAGTTAAAAACACAAATGAATGCAGAATGGTCACACAATACATCACAAATGACAGTGTAAACAGACCAATTAGTGTCACTGTTACCTCACAGTAATCCTGCCTTCTTCCAACCTCGCTTGATTGCGTCAGTCTCCTTTGCAATTTTGTCCACACAGGAAACAAGCCATCTTGCGTGAATTGGTTTCATGACACTGATCTTCAAATCCACATTGTCACTTCTCTTATGAACACAGCAACTCGCAAAAATATCTCATCGCAGTATTGTCTTTGGTGTGGTATTCGCAATATTTTAACGGTGCAGAAATAAAGCTGTTTACAGTACTTTGATCTTTGGAACAGTCCTAGCCAGGACCTTGTTTATCTGGAACCTGCCTTCAGCCAGTTGCAGTTTAGAACATCTACCTGTTCTATTTACAAAGCCATGTTGTTCCATATCCATGGTTTGAAATAGTATCTTAAGGCTTTCACTGGGAAATCAAGAGAGGCCATTCCTGTTTGTTTTGATGAAGAAAAGATGCTCAATGTCACTTTCAATATTAGGTTTTGGTTGTTAAATTTTGGGGTGTTGTCAAGACATGATCAGACACTGACACGTTGTGATCTCTGATTAACATAATATACTAGTTAAATTCACACCTGTGAAGATTTGGGTGAGAATTGGTCTTCAGCAACTATGTTTGACTTCCTGCATGAAGATCCAGGTAAGAGTTGATCTTCAGCAACACGTTTGTCGTAAGAGGCGACTAAAGGGTGGTTCTGCTTGCTGACTTGGTTGATGAATGTCATCGTATCCAAATTGCATGGATCGATGCTCATGATGTCAATCACAGGATTGTCTGGTCCAAACTCTTTTATATACGAACCGCCATATACTGTAAATCTTGAAATTAATGCAAGCGTGAATTCAATGCGAAAAATGCGAGTGGTCTTTGCTCGCATTTTTAAACATCTCATTTATATCAACAATAAGACATTTTGGATAGCAAAATACCAACTTAGACATACGCTGATGTATTCCACACTACTGTTTATTGAGCAGCACTTGTATATAAAGTATATAAACCATGTCATTCAAACACTAATTATGTCCTTTGAAGTGTCACTGCTGGGGTCAAGACAAGAGTTCTACTCACTTATGTCATCACTGATCACACCTGCAAGTCCAGACAGACGCCACCCTTTGTTCTTTGCGACTGCGTCAAAGGCAGACACGAGCCAGCGCGCATGTATTGTTTTTGTGGAAGTACTTTACTCAGCGCCAATAAGCGGTGTTATTTGGTGTGTGATTGGATTGATGTAAGGTTGGATTACGGTGAGGATTCTAAACCTGACTGAAGACATCTTTAGATAAAAATCCACTGATGCTTGAGAGGAGGGGTGTCGCATTCATATTGAGTCGCATTTTTGGCTAGGGTCCAGTGGTCGCATTCTTTTGAAGACGCATTAATTTCACGATTTACAGTAACTAGAATATTGCTGAGTGCTGTGTTATGATTTGTTAAACAACAAACTAACAAACAAAAACAAAAGCTGAATTCAAACATGGAATACCACACTCTGTTTGATCTTATTTGACCCGTGACATGATGTGCCTGTTTCAGCCTGGGCCGGGTTAAGCAAGCCTCCGAACTGGCCCAAACCTGTGTGGGAGCTTGACACTGAACCGAGCAACAACGACAACGGGTATGAAAACGAAGACCTGATTGTGTGGATGAGAACAGCCGCCCTCCCCACGTTCCGCAAACTGTATCGGCGTGTTGAGCACAAGGGCACATTCAGCGACGGTCTTCCCGCTGGCGACTATGAGATTTCCATCACATATGGTTTGTACAATTCATACATGTTTTTTCTGTTATGACTTTTATTTGACTATGAAAACGAAATGTCATTTTCCAAGATATTAAACTTATATATATGTATAATTTTAGTTTTTCTCAGATTTTCAATGGCAAGCTTGTTTCTTGATGCAACATGCTTGATGTGAGGACCACAGTTTCAAATAACAAAAATTGCACAATCATGTTAATACCATAATCAACTGCCTATAGAAATCCATATTTTTGTGATGTTAATACTGTTCATTGAGATTGTTTGCTTGTGTCATGTTTTCTGTCAATTATATGGTGGTACATCAATTGTTTGGTGGCACGCGGCCCTGTCTACAGCACACAGGTCACAAATCAGGTGAAGTTAAGCAACGTTGGGCATGGAGAGTAGTTGGGTGGGTGACCATGTTCGGCAGCTTGACTCCTGAGAATTTCCAGGGCTTCGGTCCTGCCCCACACTGAAACACATGTAGCACATGTGGTATCTCCTTAGGCAGGTGACTTTGTTGAAATGTGCCTCTGTTCACCCAGCAGTGATGTGATATGGTAATGTGACTGTTAGCCTTCTAGCACCTTTGGTTGTATACCCCCCACAGAGCCGGAAATGAAAATCCAGGGCACACTGATCCAGTTACCGTGGTTACAATAAGATCTATCCTTGTCTAAGTGCCTGTGAGCAGTTATAATTTGAAAAGTGTGCTATACAAATTTATAATAATATGATATGATAAATATTTTCGAGAAACATTGTGTTTCAGCAGCATGTACAGTCTGTGAGCATTGTGGGTATCTGTTCCCATCGAACGGCTTTAATGCATGCCACTAACAAACCCGTGAAAATCAGGATTTGAATAGGTCTTCAGCAACCCATGCTTGCTGTAAGAGGCGACAATGCTTGTCGTAAGAGGCGACTAACAGGCTCGCTGATTTGGTTTATGCATGTCCTCGTATCCCAATAGCGTAGATCGATGCTCATGATGTCAATCACTGAACTGTCTGGTCCAGACTCGATTATTTACAGACCGCTGTGATATAGCTGTAATATTGCTGAGTGCAGCCTTAAACAACAAACAAACAAACAAACAATCCATGTGAGTTAAGGAGGCTGATGGTTTCATATTTTTTGTCCACCATATTTGATGTTTGTTTATTTGTTTTTCAAGTAGTTTTATATTTGTTTCCAGCATACCCTGTAGATGCCTTTGGTGGAAGGAAGAGCATCATCCTGACCACCACATCCTGGCTGGGTGGCAAGAACCCCTTCCTGGGCATCGCCTACCTGGTCGTGGGCAGCTTGTGCATCATCCTGGGCATTGTATTCCTCATCATACACCTCAAGTTTGGCAAGAAGTAAGTACACATCACCACAGTCACTGTTGAAGGTACTTGTATGTTAGATCAGTGGGTTGTCACGCTCGTGTGTTTGTGATGTCATAGATGCTGTGATCTGTGTCTCATGCTGTTATTTTGTAGTCAGTGTATTGTTCTGTAAAGTGAAATAGAGAGTGTTATGTCAGGTGAAATAGACAGTGTTATGTCAGGTGAAATAGGCAGGTGAAATAGACAGTGTTATGTCAGGTGAAATAGACAGTGTTATGTCAGGTGAAATAGACAGTGTTATGTCAGGTGAAATGGACAGTGTTATGTCGGGTCAAATAGACAGTGTTATGTTGGGTGAAATAGAGAGCGTTATGTCAGGTGAAATAGACAGTGTTACGTCAGGTGAAATAGGCAGTGTGATATCAGGTAAAAAAGACAGTGTTGTGTCAGGTGAAATAGACAGTGTGATATCAGGTGAAATAGACAGGGTGATATCAGGTGAAATAGACAGTGTTATGTCAGGTGAAATAGACAGTGTTATGTCAGGTGAAAGACGGTGTTAAGTCAGGTGAAATAGACAGTAATATGTCAGGTGAAATAGACAGCGTTATGTCAGGTGGAATAGACAGCGTTATGTCAGGTGAAATAGACAGTGTTATGTCAGGTGAAAGACAGTGTTAAGTCAGGTGAAATAGACAGTGTTATGTCAGGTGAAATAGACAGTGTTATGTCAGGTGAAATAGACAGTGTTATGTCAGGTGAAATAGACAGTGTGATATCAGGTGAAATAGACAGTGTGATATCAGGTGAAATAGACAGTGCGATATCAGGTGAAATAGACAGTGTTATGTCAGGTGAAATAGACAGTGTGATGTCAGGTGAAATAGACAGTGTGATATCAGGTGATTCTTGATGGGTGAAATGTATAAAGCCCATTTCTGGTCCTCCGTCATGTTTCTGGCACATTGCTAAGAGCGGTATACAATCATACTCACTCACACATGTACAGCCAAGCATACAAGGAGAGGTGTATCATATATAGTGACCTGAGCTGATTAGATTATGGTCATATATCAGCTCTGTTCAGCATGTTCATCCCTGATGGGACTCCAAAAGCAGACTAGATTCCCAATATCCCATGTTTGTGAACACAACTTAAAATCTGATGTAGATATTTCCAGACATCACTATTGCCAATTATGTAACTTCTGTTGCCAACTGATCACGAGAGGATGCTGTTTTCAGTTGGCGTGTGAATGTATTGATGATGCACCCAGCCTGGGACAAACAGCGGTATTTGGCAGTTTTCCCTCCTGGTTCAGGGGAGGAGGAAGCAGAACAATGTTCCATACTTCCCCAACAGTTCTAATGCTTACTTGAGAGTTCAGAAATTCTTAATCTTGAAACAAAGTTTCTCTTAGCAGAGTTAGGGTTATGTTTGCAGTAACCCAGGGCCCCGTTTCACAAAGCCATCTTAGCGCTCTGACTGTCATAAGCCTATGTTAAAGTATGGGAGTTGGGGTCATCTTAGCATGCTTAGCACTATGGCTGTCTTAAGCCTATGTTAAAGTATGGGAGTGGGGGTCATCTTAGCACTATGGCTGTCTTAAGCCTATGTTAAAGTATGGGAGTGGGGGTCATCTTAGCGCTATGACTATCATAAGCCTATGTTAAAGTATGGGAGTGGGGATCATCTTAGCGCTACAACTATCATAAGCCTATGTTAAAGTATGGGAGTTGGGGTCATCTTAGAGCTACGACTATCATAAGCCTTTGTTAAGGTATGGGAGTTTGGATGAACTTAGTGCTAAGATCACTTTGAGAAACGGGGCCCAGTTTGTTGAATTTTTTATTATGTTGAAGTTGAATTATTATTTGTTCCCCTGTCATCAGAAATATTTATTGCATGAAAGCATTTAAGGCCAATCATGTTTCTTGTTTTAGCAATTTTCTTGGCCTTTGCCAAAGTAATTGATTCCGTTTTTGGTTGAAAATAGCTGTTGCAATATCCTAACAGTTAAAGGTCTCAAATGAATGAGGTAACAGATGTAAATCAGGAGTAGATGGTGCATTAACCTTTTTTATTCCTGGTATCTTTACTCAAAATTGAAACTGAAATTTCAGAGATTATACATGTAGTTTCTAAAATCATGTGAACAGAGATAGGACGCACCTGTTTATTGCCGAGACATGCTGTGACTGTGTAGTTTTAATAGATGAATAATTATTGCCTGTTTTTAGTTACGACATGGCTGAATTTGTCTGCTGTTACAGTAGTAGTATGTTGTTGTTCATTAAGTAACTGTGTGTTTTATGTGACAGCCGATTCGATGCCTGGTAGTCACTTAGTGGCATGGTGGTAAGGATGTATTGTGTTTCTGATCTGTTTCTTACTAACTAGTCGTTGAGTTGCTGTGCTGTTCACATCAAAATGTTAATAGTATTACCATTTAGTTTTGCTATTGGAACATTTTGCACCCACTTTTGCAGTACCTGTGCACAAAGTCTGGATTTATCGGCTCGCTGAACACAGTTTGATGAGCTCTAACAAGCACTGTTGTCTGTCTGATAAGAAGTAACAGAGTCAATATGACTGGAAAATCATTCGTGATATTTCAATATTTTGATAACATGTTTGTATTGTTTGTTTGTTGTTTAACAATCTATTAACAGTTATCTAACATCGGGTAAATAATTGAGTCTGGACCAGGCAATCCAGTGAATGATATTATGATATCATCTCCACCGCTGTGGTACAATGACACTCATTCAACCAGGTCACCAAGTCTCACCACCCAATCCACCAAGTCACCACTTATGACAAGCTTATGTTGCTGGGGAGTAATTGCAAGGGTTGTCAGGGTTACGACGGATGTAAGCCTTTGGATTTCAAATGAATTAATGTTGATCAGTGTTCACAAAGTGCTAAACACTATTCTTTGTTTGATAGGCATTGCTTAGAAGTTGACGGATGACAAGGTAGACACAATTTTATGGATAACAACTTCTTTATTACTGTAAAAAGTGACGTTTCTGTATAGATCCTTATACCCTGCTTGACAACGGTATAAGGATCTATACCGAAACGTCGTTTTTTTACAGTATTAAAGAAGTTGTTATCCATAAAATTGTGTCTATCTTGTAAACACTATTCAACAGACAGACTGACTATCTTAAAACAGTATTTGAAAATAGACAATAAATGTCACGTTTATGAAGGATTTGATATCGATTGCCATACATAACACTGATGTGTTTGTCCTTTTTCTTTACAAATTTGTTTTTTATAAAGAGATGATAAAGATAACTAAAAACTGACAAGTTTTTCAGAGATTTTTCATGCGCAAAAATTATTGTGTAAGGATATGACATCTTGTGTATCAGACAATATTGTCACATAATTCTGATACAGCATTGCCACACATTCTATAGGTACATGCCATACATTGTATTGATACCGTGATGCCACACATTGTATCAATACAGTGATGCCACACTTTGTATCAATACAGCATTGCCATATATTGTATCGATACAGCGCTGCCATTCATTGTTCATGTTGAATTGATACAGGTTTGCCACACATTGTATCGATACACCTTATCCACATATTGTATTGATACAGTGTTGCCACACATTGTATCAATACAGCATAGCCACACATTGTATCGATACAGCATACCCACACATTGTATCGATACAGCATACCAACAAATTGTATCAATACAGCATTGCCACACATTGTATCGATACAGCTTTGCCAAACATTATATCAATACAGCTTATCCACACATTGTATCGATACAGCTTTGCCAAACATATCAATACAGCTTATCCACAAATTCTATAGATATATGACACACATTGCATCTATAAATTATTGCCACACATTGTATCAATACAGCAATGCCATGCATTGTATCTATATATAGTCACCACAGTTTGTATCCATATACCATTCTGTCGATGACAATCCTACCTGATGTCCATCTGTTAGTATAAGCAGTGAATGTCAGTCGTCCCTTGTGGGCAGTCCGACTTGGAATAGGTCCCCAGCAATCAATGCTTGTCAGAAGACGTGACTCAGGCTTGGTGAATTGGTTAATTGCCTGTCATACTCTGACAGCAGGGGATGTTGCACATAATATCAAGGACTATTTCTGGTTGATTATAAGAAGGCTGCCATATAGTATTGCCAAGTGTGATCTCTGACAACAAACAAACAAGTCAGACATCCAATACTAGTGATTCCCGAAGATGACAATTTGAACTCTAAGGCACACAATACCCAATGTAGGATGGTGAAAGTGATGACTTTGATCACCTTGACCCAAGATGTAGTGCTAGCCCATAGGTTAATGCTGTATTCATGAATTAATATTTGAGATTTTACCTGCAGTAGTTTTAATTCTTGAACAGAGCTGTTGGAGTTCGCAAGAACAGCTACGGTAATTAACAGAACCTGAGTTCTGCTTGTATTCACGTGGCATGACTACACTGAGATGGCAGTGTTACCATGGAAACATGGCTGGGAGATGGGACTGTGGTATGCATGTTGTTACCCCTAGCAACACACAGTCTGAGGCCCCCAACATATAACCCAGCCATGCATGCATGACCTCACCCGCTTACAAGGGAGTTATGGTGTATATATCATAATCCTACACTCTTCAAGCGGCCTTTAAGAATCTGCAACCCGATAGCAACTATTTATGTTTAGATTGTCTCCAGTCTTGATCATGTTAATCATCTGCAAAATCAGGAAGACGTTTTTTTGTTTAATACAAAGTGCATCACTCTTATTTCAATCAACATGATCAAGGAAGTGCAAATGTGCACACTTTAAAAAAAGTAAATTTTTGAGCTCTTGCTTGGGGCCCATTATGTTATCTGTAACATATTAATACAGATATTGGCTATGATATTAAATGATATCATACTAGCAATGAAGTGTTTTGTTTAATAGCGATACTGGAATTGAGTTGTTACAGATTTTTGTACAAAAACATGGCTACATTTGCTGCAACCTAGTATTATCTGTCGGTGCAGAGTTACCCCCCTTTGATATATATCCTGATAGATCTGTCCTTTATGTATCCCTCTAATGGGTGTTTATTAATTCATAATTATCTCTCAACATTACCTTTCAGTTGTAGATATCACCTCTATAATAAAGAAAAAGCACACACACAGAATTCATGTTTTGCACATGTTTAAAGTTAAACTTCATTTTTGATTAACATGTCCAAAATTTAATGGATATTGTCAAATGCATATTTTATGCAATGGCAGTGTCATGTGTCTTGATTGATGTCACATTATACTGATTGATATTTTTTTCTTTTTCTTTTTCCCTGTACTTGAAGAAAAAGTCAAGATATTTCGTTTGCAATAGGTACCAGTATGAATTCAGCTACTGAAATAGCTTTATTTGCAAACAACTGCTTTACAATACAGATTTTGAAAGATCTGTTTCATGTTTCGTTATTATATATCTGCTTCTTATTATGATTATCATTAATTTTATCATAACTGAATAACTTGTGAGATAAATTATTTTTAAAAGAACTCTTTGAGGAACATTTGCCCAGAATTAAAACAGAAGTGAAATTTCTTCTGACAGCGCATCTCAATTTGAAAACTTTTTGGTAAATAACATGTGGTAGTCATAAATGTATTTGTTGAAAAATAAGTCATGGATATATTTTTAATATGTACATGGCTGAAATATTGCCGATGCAGTATTAATTTTTAGAAATTCCATCAAAGAGTTCAGTTTGGGAAATTCCTTATTGACATAATCTGAATTTGAACATCTGATGAATATGCAAGGGCGATATTGTATTTGATTAAACTATGACATTAATATAGTAATTGTTAGAAGCAATATTATGATGCTGATATTAATTATGCCGTTTACAAGTAGGTTTGCGGACCCTCTTTCAAAATCTGTCAGTGAGCAAGGAGCACCTAAAGTATTTCGGTAGCTGTGTACACAAATTCCGTGGCATCCTTTGAGTTGTACAGGGGCGTGTAACATGCAGCTTGCAACTGTCTGCTACAACACTACACTTGGACCTTAGTGCATGACTAGCCATCTCCGGCCCTGCTTCATCCAGCTGGTTACGGTTGTAGGCCTTCACAAACGTTCCCCAGAAATAGCTTCTACAGTGTTCATTTTTAGTGATTTATATGTGGTGGTGGTAAAACCTTTCATTTTTATTCTGTAAAATTCAATTTGGCAAAGAGAAGCCTTTCAACCCAGGTTATTGTCTTGGGGTGAGGGGTGGGAGGTGTACTTAGAAAGGAAGGAGGAAAATAGATTCACAAGAGGAAGTAATTTGACAGCAGAACTATGAATAATGGACACAAGCTGCTACTTTTTCTTTTATTGTGATTTATGTTGAAGTATTTTCAAGTAAATGTCTTGTATGCTTTGTTTGGAAGTGATAGATAGTTTAGAAAATACCATGTAAAAGAAATGATACCTTATTGAAAAATGTTGGATTTTTTTTAAATCAGGAGGGTATTAAAATAAATATTCTGAGAAAAAATTATGTTTCTGGGTGGTAATTGCTTCAGCTAAAGTATTCTCATCATTCCGCTCAATGTTGTTGACTGAAATATATGATAGGGGCTTTCAGTGTCTTTCATTTGACTTCTATGTCAATTGTTACTGGATTAATATAGACAAATGTTAGATTAGATTGGAGCAGTCCTCTTTTCATATTGAAATTAAAAAATAACTCTGAAAATCTTATATATATTTTGTTCCTCTTCTATGGTGTTTTCTTAATGCATCATAAACATCTGCAATTCTATCTTATGACTTTTTTTTAAACAGTGTTGCAAATTATTACTTTTTTTTAAGCTCCCCTGACTGAAAGTCAAGTGAGTTTTTGTCATGGCCTTCTTGTCCACAGCAGTTGCGTGTCTGTAAACATCTTATGCCCAGAAACCACTTGACCATTGAAGCTGAAACTTCACAAGCTTGTTCCTACCCATGATGTCACCTAAACTTATTCAAATGTAGTTTCCAATATGGCCACCATGGCAGCCATATTGAAAGAGCTATTTATGGTCATTGTTGTTCAAAGTATAATTAAATTTGTGTAATTGGTAGTGGTTTCTCAGCGTTAGAAATTGACACTAGTCTATTGTCCTTGCCAAACTGTCCAATAGTTAAGTTATCTTAAGGACGAGTAGAAATTTGTCCTTTTTAAGGGTTTTGCTATATGTTAACATTATGAGGACTAGTGGACTTAAACTGTTAGTGTCTATTGCTGTTTCTTGTGGTTTGGAAACATAGATACTTGTTTCATATTTGTCCTCAGTATTGATGAACAAAATATTCGAAAGGCAATGTTAAGTGGCTGTTAACATTTCAAACTTTTGGCTTCATATCCAGGTGAGCTACAGTACCATGGCGCTATTTTTCATTTTATTTATTTGATGTAAATATAAAACGTTATACAAAAGACATAAACTAGAGACTGCTTCATTCTGATGTAGGATTTGTCAGCATTGTCTTCCCTGTGTCAAGGAAGGAGCAGGAAAGCCCATTATATCCACATAGCAATGTTAATGCATCCTCGTCCCTCTGTGCATGTGAGTGCCTGCATTAACTGTGCATATAATCCAATGCCCCGTACAGGTCAGCCACTCTCTGCTTCATCTGCTTCTTTTTATTTAGTAAAAATACTCATGGATGATTTTCAGGCACAAACTCATTCACTAAAGGAATATATGATATTACATGTCAAACTTACTGATATAACAAACTTTATTTTTAGTCCCGGCCAGTTGTTATATATATTCCGTATATATGCTTATAACGAACTACGGTTATAACAAGCTAAAATTAGTGGTCCCTTTGAGTTCGTTATAACCGTAGTTTACTGTATAGTCATAATCCCTGTTTAAGATAAATCCTCTGGCTTATTTTCCTCAAAAGATGCTTTTGAAAAAGTTCAAAGTTGCTTCTTATAAAAAATATATGTGTCTTTCAGATTTCAGTTCTTGCATGAAACCTCGTCTTTTGCTATATCTGTACTAAGTTCAATAATTTATCTGTGTCATCTTGGTCATATGGTCTACAACTGTTTTAGCCTGTACATGCAAATTGATATGCTTGTGCTATTGATAGTTAGTCTGTAGGGCTGTATGTTAAAAGTCCCTGCAGGATGGGATGTAGCAGACAGTTGGGAGCATGTTACACAGGGACCTATAGAGGATGTAGCTGCAGATCTACAAGCTCCGTGGCATGGGACAGCATCTAGCAGAAGCTTTTATGCAAATCAGCATATTTCACCCAAACGTCGTTCTTACTTGGGTCCTTTTCTTCTTTCATTTTCATTAAGAATTTATATATATATTTGATATCTATAAGCACACACACACATTAATTAATGTTATTCATGCTTGAATTTATAATTTGTGTTTTTATAAATTTTGGTAAAAACCACAAATTATTTTTCAGACTAAATTCAGATTTGTTTTATTTTCATTTTATAAATTTGTTTCATTATGATTGTTCAATAAGTAATCATTGTTTTTAGTTCAATAATGAATTTTATTTTGAAATCTAAGATCGCCGTTTGGAATTGTAAAATGTCCTGATCTGCATCAGCTCAATGTGTTTATTTGCTGTGGTAAAGAGAGTTATCCCCCCCTCTCTAGATGCTAGTCAGCCAGATATCTCTTTACATTTCAGACACAATGTTTGGTCCATGAATGTTCATTCATCATGTTCATTCACTTTGGTAAATTTGGTATTTTTACCTGGGTGTATCATCTTGTGCTATGCCTACCTCCCCTTTGACAAACATGGACACTTAGTCTTTGTTTGTGATTGATATATTGCTTGTCATGTGCATGCCCAAAACAGCTTCATGCAATGTTGATTGATCGAATGAGCAGAATTGACAATGTTTCGTAATTCTATGTCCAGGATTAGTAGCTTGTTCAAACTGCAATTTTTTTAGAAATGGCCGTCAAATAAATTGACAAAATAAAATTTCATTATCGGTAATTATTTCTTTCTACAAAGATGAGGAAAATCAACCTTCAAAAATTATAATTTTAGACCAAATTTTGTTTAATGGATGTGAAGACACAGAAGGAAAGTGATATTTTGTCAGGGCCGACTAAGGGTAAATTGCAGAGTTGTGGCCCTTAGTTGTCACGATCTGCTGATTGTGAGAAACCAAATACATGATCCTTCTGTGGGCCTCATCAGCTTGATCATATACATACACGTAAGCAGTAAATGTTGACAGTCTGCATCACTTTAGACTTTCCTTGTGCGTTACGCAGATATGATGTGATTTTACTGACATTTGGTGAAAGCAGCACCAATTCATTCAATAATGGTATAAATGATATTATTTTTAAAATCCCTGCTTATGACTCAGGCTTCTGGCTTATTTTCCCCAACAGAGGCTTTCAAAATGTTCAAAGTTTCTGCTTGTAAAAAGAATTTATTATTATTTTCTTATCTTTACAATTATGGTAACAAGCTCATCCATCAAGCCAAAAATCTAAATTTTTGCAGAAACGTTTGACAGAAAATGTTATAAAAAAGTAATAACCATGATTGCCTGACATGCCATGACGTGCAATATGCCATGACAGTCATGTCATGTTTACATAGAGAAGTACATCTGATCACGTCAAGCTTTACAACTGGTGGTTAGGTAGCTACTGTTCATTTATAGGTTTGATTTTGTTTTAAATTTATCATTTTCAATTTATCATTTTCTTGTTGATTTGCTCTTTGTTTTAGTTTATAACCAGCTTTTAAGATTCATTTTATAATTGTAATGTTCATTATAGATCATGTCAGGAAGTATTCCAATTCTATTTTAATATTAATCATATTACAATTAAAAGTATACTAATATTGAATCTGTAGCAGTTATCCCATTTATAATCTGATGATATTCTTAAAGACCTCTGAATAATATTAAGCCGTACACTGAACACATACCAATGTTTGTGATCACTTTCATAACGATTTGTTAAAACTACTTTTCATACAACAAGAATGACTTATTTTCAATATCTGTGTAACAGCTCCACCAAATGACCTGTGCATTAAGTTTTGTTTTTTGTTTTCAGACATAGTGACATGACCAATGTGACCAACCGTGACGCCTACTAGAACAGGAACAAGAACACCTGGAACCCGGAGGTCATGACCTCAACATTTTCACCTCTATAACAAGATCTCCAATCACAGTCTTTTAGCAAACCAACTTTTGTAAGAAAGAGCCTTCTGAACAGATTGCCTTCTCTAAAATTATCTATAATCTGTTTAGGGGCCCTTTGTTTATATATTATATGGTTTTATGCATTTTTCCAAAACTACAACATGTATAAGGTTGGTGGTAAAAATAACACATTTAAGAAGCATGTTTATTTAATTTTTTGAGTGACATGTTTAATGAATCAGGGGCTGTATGAAATAAACAAATATATAAAATGTAATGAAAGATACATGTCACTTCCCTATCCAGTTTGATTACGGAAATTGGTTAAAAGACTTGACTTGAATACAAGAGACTTTTCATTATTTTTTCATTTCTGCTTGGTTGCTCGAAAGACCAAGTTACATGAGTTCTTACAACTGAATCTTCAGAGTATTTCCAAGATGGACCATATACTGAAGGAAATACTAGTATATAAGGGAACAGCTATGAATGGAAGCATGATTTGTGTGATGTTTGGTATGTAGCCAAACATTGAGATGGTTTGGAAATATACCAAATACTGACTTCAGTTTTTGATTTCAAGCATTTTCTTGAACACAGTGTGCAGTGTTCTGCTTTACTGTAGGTGTTCCTGTATTTCTTTCCATCAGTATATTTGGTGTTTTTAGTTCCCATGTTGCCTTGCTGGCTTTATTTACTACATCACCAGAAATTCTGGAATGTTGTCATTCCTCTGCTGTTTACTGGGTTAAAACAGGGATCATAGTTTCGTATTGTCGCAAACTTCTGCATTGTGTCCTTGACATAATGATGAAACATCTCATTTATAAAATTATCTTTGATATTTAGTGTGCATACATAAAATAAAATATTTCCTCGAGGAAATATTTTTTCTTAACAATTGATACTTTTCACGTTTCTAAAATTATTTTCTAAAACAGTTTCATATAGCTTCTTGTGACGTTCTGTCAACTGAATATCTGAATTTGTTGAGCATGTTTTCTGCAATATTTATAAGAGTTCCCAATTGCTAAGCATTCTACAAGTTATTGAAAAATTATACTTTGTAAGAAGCACTTTTAACAATAATTACTAATATCAAGTATGACACATTTTCATCTCATAACTGAAGCACATTTACAAATTACTCATTCCCTAATCGGCTACTGCTGAATTTATGCTGACTTTTGTATCTGTGTGTATACTTCGAATAGTTGTTTAAAATGCTGTTGTTTTTTTTAGTTTCACCTAAACACTTTAAAAATGAAGGATAAGCTTAATCATGTCAGTCAGCATATGAAATTGGTTGTAAACTAATACCAAGCATTGACATGGTGTTTCTTATCATGATTGTTGTTTATTCTTATTGCTTAGTGTGTCACAAGCATTGTGTTGACCTATTGGCTTTATCGGGATGTGTCTGTCTGTGATCAGAAGTGATGTTCATTCTTTAATATGAAACTTTCTTTCCAATGTCTGATGGGATGCCTCTGTAGGATACCAGGTTAGGATGGTGGCCGAGTAAACTGCCGGGCAAAAGAAAGTATACACCCAAGTTTTATGTGGCTAAGAATGAACAAACGAGAAATGGTTATTCTTTTGTGATGTACTCGGACCTGTTTTGGATCTTACATTTGCAGTGTTCTGGCGACTGTTTTCAGCCAAATAATATTTGTAATGCTTTGGTCAAATCCTGTTTAGAAGTGTATACTTTCTTTGCCCCAGCAGTTTATCTGATGCTAGGCGTAACGGGACTAATGAGGATGTGGTATTGTCGCATTTTGATGGCTTAGATATTTGCATCTTTCCAAGGCAAGGGAGTTAACTGACTATAAAACTAGGCTGGAAATGAAGTTGACATCCGGTTTGTAAACTACTGTGCAGATTTCAGTAGATTGCAGGATTTGCAAGCATGTGTACCGCCAACTTTGTGACAACAGAAATTTTCTAAATCTTTTAATGCTTTTAATCAAGGTGCTTACATGATTTGATGCACTTAAGACCCATTTTATTTCAATATAGATCTTGATTATCGATGAGATTGTCTTCACTGGAGCAAATGCAACTGATATTGGTCAATAGGAGGGATATAAATTGTAACAGACACTTGTCCAGTCTAGTGCAGCAAGGGTGGAAACAGGACTTTTACAGTCAGTTCATTCCCTTGCCTCGGGAAGATGGGATATTTGTGTGTGTGCTATGATCTTGCACAGACTCAATTGTTTATAGGTCTTTGTGATCATGGTTATAAAGTTGGATTTTTTTCTGACTGGCAAGAGAAAAGGTTGGCAGGGGAGTTGTGTTTCTAAATAACGTCAGGATCTGCTGATTCAGCCTGGTTATGATCCTTGGTATGTCAGCATCTCTTGGGCTTCACCAAAGTGGTAAGTGAGAGTGACCTGCATCATTTCCTGCTGTACTCCATCCTCATCCTGAAATACAGTCAACATGGCTTAAAACATGAATGAAGTTATTGAACTGCTCTGGTTTTACATTCCATGACCAATCATAGGACATTACAGTTCAATTCTGTGGAGTGGCTGATATTGACTTCTCTTAATGTGGCTGCATCTAGCACTAATGCTCATTGGACGTAGTGATCTCATCCAGCAAGTGGTCCAAAATTGTAAAGTTAAAAAAAATGTCGGTGAAGTTGTAGACTTGTAGCATTGATAAATATTTTTCTGATCTATTACTGAAACAATTGTTTCACATTGAATGTAATGTGAATATTCCACCAGTTGTTGACAAGAGATACTTCATCCCACAGTTTGGAGAAAGTATGCTAGTTTTAAGCTGACTCATTATATTACAATTTTGGTTTGATTGAAATCTCTTTATGGTAATCTGTATGGTACTCTACATCAGGTATGTGAGAATAGTGTGTGTGATGTGTATGTTGCCATGGTTATTGGTGTAACAAATATGGAAACATACTGTATATGATGATGTAAGTTCTATATACTGTGTAAGATATCCCGTGGTTGTACATCTTGCTAGTCTGTTTTTCAAATTGCACATGTCGGTAAAATTGTATATTTCTTTTATTGTTGACCAGATTGCTACTGCTGTAAACAGTTGTACACTCTGTACATATCCTCTGTGTTTGTCCATATCCTCAGTCCAGTGTCCTTGACCGTTGTGATCAATATCAGACCGTGAAAAGCTTTTTAAATGTTTCTCATCACCATGCAGGTCATGTTAAACTTGCTCTGTCACAATTTGTCAAGGCAATCAATTTCTATTTTTATCCATTAAAAATTTTGTTTTATATTAGCATGTTTTCCCTATCGATGTAAACATTGTTTGGATTTTAACATTACTTTTCCTTTCCATGGTTTCTGCCTATTGACCTTATTGGTATAAAGCCATGTGACCTGACAATTAATAATATGAAACTAAACAAAGGTTATAAAAAGCAGACATTATTATTGAGTACAGGATGTAGCATATTTAGAGAAAGATTATTCTCCTTATTTTCACCATATGAAAGCAGGAATATAAAAGCAGTGCTTGTTTCCCCATTCTGTGTGAGCTGTTCAGCTCTGTAGGCAATGCCAGGTGACAATGTATCCTTCAGGGCAATGTAACCTTGACACTCTCCTTTCTCTCACAATTACTCTTGCTCCATAAGAAACATTGTTGTACATAGCAATCTTTGTCACTGTGATTTTAATTTATGTCAATGTATACATTTGATTTAGTAATTATCAATTGTTATGTTTTCAATAAATCTATTCTGTGAATGTGTTCTGTTTGTACGTCCTTCCGCGAAATATGTACATGTGGCTTGTGTACTCCCTTGCTTAGGTATAGTTGACTCCATCCTTGTGTCGAGTTGACTGGTCCTGTACTTACTACAGATGAAGCATGTAGGCTGACTCCATCCTTGTGTCGAGTTGACTGGTCCTGTACTTACTACAGATGAAGCATGTAGGCTGACTCCATCCTTGTGTAGAGTTGACTGGTCCTGTACTTACTACAGATGAAGCATGTAGGCTGACTCCATCCTTATGTAGAGTTGACTGGTCCTGTACATACTACAGATGAAGCATGTAGGCTGACTCCATCCTTGTGTAGAGTTGACTGGTCCTGTACTTACTACAGATGAAGCATGTAGGCTGACTCCATCCTTGTGTAGAGTTGACTGGTCCTGTACTTACTACAGATGAAGCATGTAGGCTGACTCCATCCTTGTGTCGAGTTGACTGGTCCTGTACTTACTACAGATGAAGCATGTAGGCTGACTCCATCCTTATGTAGAGTTGACTGGTCCTGTACATACTACAGATGAAGCATGTAGGCTGACTCCATCCTTGTGTAGAGTTGACTGGTCCTGTACTTACTACAGATGAAGCATGTAGGCTGACTCCATCCTTGTGTAGAGTTGACTGGTCCTGTACTTACTACAGATGAAGCATGTAGGCTGACTCCATCCTTGTGTAGAGTTGACTGGTCCTGTACTTACTACAGATGAAGCATGTAGGCTGACTCCATCCTTGTGTAGAGTTGACTGGTCCTGTACATACTACAGATGAAGCATGTAGGCTGACTCCATCCTTGTGTAGAGTTGACTGGTCCTGTACATACTACAGATGAAGCATGTAGGCTGACTCCATCCTTGTGTAGAGTTGACTGGTCCTGTACTTACTACAGATGAAGCATGTAGGCTGACTCCATCCTTGTGTAGAGTTGACTGGTCCTGTACATACTACAGATGAAGCATGTAGGCTGACTCCATCCTTGTGTAGAGTTGACTGGTCCTGTACATACTACAGATGAAGCATGTAGGCTGACTCCATCCTTGTGTAGAGTTGACTGGTCCTGTACATACTACAGATGAAGCATGTAGGCTGACTCCATCCTTGTGTAGAGTTGACTGGTCCTGTACATACTACAGATGAAGCATGTAGGCTGACTCCATCCTTGTGTAGAGTTGACTGGTCCTGTACATACTACAGATGAAGCATGTAGGCTGACTCCATCCTTGTGTAGAGTTGACTGGTCCTGTAGTTACTACAGATGAAGCATGTAGGGTGACTCCATCCTTATGTAGAGTTGACTGGTCCTGTACTTACTACAGATGAAGCATGTAGGCTGACTCCTTTCTTGTGTAGAGTAGACTGGTCCTGTAGTTACTACATTTGAACATGTAGGCTGACTCCATCCTTGTGTAGAGTTGACTGGTCCTGTACTTACTACAGATGAAGCATGTAGGCTGACTCCATCCTTGTGTAGAGTTGACTGGTCCTGTACATACTACAGATGAAGCATGTAGGCTGACTCCATCCTTGTGTAGAGTTGACTGGTCCTGTACATACTACAGATGAAGCATGTAGGCTGACTCCATCCTTGTGTAGAGTTGACTGGTCCTGTAGTTACTACAGATGAAGCATGTAGGGTGACTCCATCCTTATGTAGAGTTGACTGGTCCTGTACTTACTACAGATGAAGCATGTAGGCTGACTCCTTTCTTGTGTAGAGTAGACTGGTCCTGTAGTTACTACATTTGAACATGTAGGCTGACTCCATCCTTGTGTAGAGTTGACTGGTCCTGTACTTACTACAGATGAAGCATGTAGGCTGACTCCATCCTTATGTAGAGTTGACTGGTCCTGTACTTACTACAGATGAAGCATGTAGGCTGACTCCATCCTTGTGTCGAGTTGACTGGACCTGTACTTACTACAGATGAAGCATGTAGGCTGACTCCATCCTTGTGTAGAGTTGACTGGTCCTGTAGTTACTACAGATGAAGCATGTAGGCTGACTCCATCCTTGTGTAGAGTTGACTGGTCCTGTAGTTACTACAGATGAAGCATGTAGGCTGACTCCATCCTTGTGTAGAGTTGACTGGTCCTGTAGTTACTACAGATGAAGCATGTAGGCTGACTCCATCCTTGTGTAGAGTTGACTGGTCCTGTAGTTACTACAGATGAAGCATGTAGGCTGACTCCATCCTTGTGTAGAGTTGACCGGTCCTGTAGTTACTACAGATGAAGCATGTAGGGTGACTCCATCCTTATGTAGAGTTGACTGGTCCTGTACTTACTACAGATGAAGCATGTAGGCTGACTCCTTTCTTGTGTAGAGTAGACTGGTCCTGTAGTGACTACATTTGAACATGTAGGCTGACTCCATCCTTGTGTAGAGTTGACTGGTCCTGTACTTACTACAGATGAAGCATGTAGGCTGACTCCTTCCATGTGTAGAGTAGACTGGTCCTGTAGTTACTACATTTGAACATGTAGGCTGACTCCATCCTTGTGTAGAGTTGACTGGTCCTGTACTTACTACAGATGAAGCATGTAGGCTGACTCCATCCTTGTGTAGAGTTGACTGGTCCTGTACTTACTACAGATGAAGCATGAAGGCTGACTCCATCCTTGTGTAGAGTTGACTGGTCCTGTACTTACTACAGATGAAGCATGTAGGCTGACTCCATCCTTGTGTCGAGTTGACTGGCCCTATACCTACTACAGATGAAGCATGTAGGGTGACTCCATCCTTGTGTAGAGTTGACTGGTCCTGTACTTACTACAGATGAAGCATGTAGGCTGACTCCATCCTTGTGTCGAGTTGACTAGACCTGTACTTACTACAGATGAAGCATGTAGGCTGACTCCATCCTTGTGTAGAGTTGACTGGTCCTGTACTTACTACAGATGAAGCATGAAGGCTGACTCCATCCTTGTGTAGAGTTGACTGGTCCTGTACTTACTACAGATGAAGCATGTAGGCTGACTCCATCCTTGTGTCGAGTTGACTGGCCCTATACCTACTACAGATGAAGCATGTAGGGTGACTCCATCCTTGTGTAGAGTTGACTGGTCCTGTACTTACTACAGATGAAGCATGTAGGCTGACTCCATCCTTGTGTCGAGTTGACTAGACCTGTACTTACTACAGATGAAGCATGTAGGCTGACTCCATCCTTGTGTAGAGTTGACTGGTCCTGTACTTACTACAGATGAAGCATGTAGGCTGACTCCTTCCTTGTGTGGAGTTGACTAGTCCTGTAGTTACTACAGTTGAAGCATGTAGGGTGACTCCATCCTTGTGTAGAGTTGACTGGTCCTGCACTTACTACAGATGAAGCATGTAGGGTGACTCTATCCTCGTGAAGAGTTGACTGGTCCTGTACTTACTACAGATGAAGCACGTAGGGTGACTCCATCCTTGTGTAGAGTTGACTGGTCCTGTACTTACTACAGATGAAGCATGTAGGGTGACTCTATCCTTGTGAAGAGTTGACTGGTCCTGTACTTACTACAGATGAAACGTGGGGTGAATCAATCTTTGTGTGGAGTTGACTGGTCAGGTTCTTCGGGACTGAACCGCAAAAGAAACCTCTGTACTTGAAAATAATTCATGAAAGTTTCCGATTGAAATATCAATGCATTTTTGGAAGGTATCTCGTTTTTGACAGTCTGTAACTTCGTTTAATCTTGATGGCCAAAAAGTGACACAAATATGATAAAATTGGTCGCCAAAACGCAGCTTAACAAACGACCATGCTACAAAGTCCCGCATGCAAAATCAAAATGCACGTGTGTGTCCATATGCCTTATCCTGATCAAGGGGACCCCAATACGTGGATACAACATTCTCGTATCGATACTAGCGCCAGGACAAGACTTATAAGGAATCGGAGACACCAGGCTTTAGGAAGACTGCAAGCTCGCCAGACAGCAAGAATGGTTAGGAAAGGCTTTCCTCCTGTATCACCCGTAAAGTTATATGTGTATGCAGTGCCGCTCAAACCTTTTAATTATACACATTTTTATTAATTTTTTAAATTATTTTTCAGTTATTTATTTTTATTTTTTTTATTTTTTGGGTGGGGTGGGGGGTGGGGAGCGGCGTAAGTCTTACCTATAAAACATTACTAACCTGTTAGATGAATTAAACAAAGAACCGACCCAAGCTACCTACCCTACCCCACAGCCAGTAGAAGTCAAATAAAAGAAAACTCCACGCAGGGATTAAGTCATTCTGATGACAGCAGCGCTGTGGAATACAGCAGCTATACAGGTTTATTTAATTTAATGCAACGCATTAATTGGTCAAAACATAATTTCATTACAAAACATTATATGTACACAAATATATAAAATACAGAAAATACACATAACCACAACACTACCACAATATATTCAGGAAAGTTACACAGAGCTACAGAAACTGCCCGACAAACGGTTGCAACCGACCAAAGACGCATCAGTGCTGATACAGTGCGTCAACGTTTGGCCAGCAGGAATAATGATCACTTTCTCACAGCTCGTCACCGCCATGACCGACTACAGCGGACCACGCAGCATCAAACCAGTGGCGAACCTTCATTTCTCGGACGAAAGCCGATACTGTGTTTCCACGGCAGATGGCAGAGAGAGAGTTTGCCGTAGACGTGGGGAACGCTATTCAGATGTCTGTGTGATGGAAAGAGAATCCTTGGGTGATCCCAGCCTCATGGTATGGGGTGATATTGTTCCCCAACAGAGAGTTGGTCGCGTGGTGTTTAGGCATATTGGTCGAGGCAACGGTATCACAGCTGCATGCTACGTCGATCTGGTCGTCAGACCTCACATCGTGCCACATTTTGGACGTCACGATAACCATGTTTTCCAGCACGACAACGCCCGTGCCCCACTTCCAGAGCAACAAGTGACTTCCTGCAACTACGTGACACCCGAACGATACAGTGCCCAGCACTCAGCCCAGATTAACACCCAAAGAACACACGTGGGACGAGTTTCAAATAAGACTGAATGACGTTCGACCAAGGCCGACAATTGCGGATGAACTCAGTCAGGTGTTTCTCAGAGTGTGGGCCCAAGCGCCAATGGCCTTCACCAACCGACCAATTCACTCCATGCCCCCGCTGGAACACTGATCCGTCGTCCACCATGCTAAGCGTTGAATGAATGGTACGGACCTACGAATTGTCTGTCGGCCAGTTGTCCTTGGTCCGGGACATAATACCTGGTGTCCAATGTCCATAGATATTTAGCCCGTCTAGCCATTGTGACCAGCCAATGTCTCAACTTGCAAAGGGAGCCAATAACTGTTCTCCGCAGTTTCTGACATCCTTATGACAAAACACAATGTATTCGTAATTTGTTGTGATCCACGTGATGTACATGATGCACGTGCAGGGGATCCTCCCAATGGCACCCGCAGTGGTTCCCGGAACCCCGATTGGTCTGATACGATACGATACGATCTAATATATCGACAACACTCTAGAGAATATTTAATCATTTTGGACTGAACCGCCGTGTTTTGCAACCTCAACAAAAGGAATTCGTTTCCTATTTGACCAATCAAGACCACTGATCACTTTCCTTTTAAAACAATATAACGAATTTAAGATCCAAGTCACTTGTTTCAAATGTGACAACAAGCAATCAAGTCACCATTTGATGTTTAATAATGTCGGAAACAAATAGTGAGTGCTTGAGTTTTGTTAAGCACCTCTGTCTATCATATCTTTCAGCACTATACCCGTTCTCGTCGGTTTCGCCAAAATGGTAAACTTCTAAGTTCTGCATCACTACAGAACACACCCACCAACACATGAACACCCACATTTCCATGCCCCTAATACAGATTCATGATACATCCATGTATGCCCATTCTCGATCTTCCACTGTATAATGTACTTACCGCTTATATTCAGAGATATTAGATTGGTTCGATTCACAAAACGAACATACTGGTATGTTGTGTTAACCGATACTCATGAACGCATCACATGTGACGTCATAGATCCATGACTCGCGATGCACCATTTGTCTCGCGCAGTATTTGCGTGTAAAGTTTGGAAATCACGTGCAGCATATCGTGACAAAATAAAGACACTGTGGTAACACTTGAACGATTATTAGTTTTGTCATTAATTGGTTTACACATTGGAAGCATCTCTTCTTAACGTACATACGTCTCTATATGTTTCTATGGTTCGCGGGGCGGTCGGGTAGCCTAGTGGTTAAAGCGTTCGCCCGTCAAGCCGAAGACCCGGGTTCGATTCCCGACATGGATACAATGTGTGAAGCCCATTTCTGGTGACGCTGAGTATTTCTTAATATTTGCTAGTATTGTGCACAACCATCAGTGGCTGAAGTGATGACGTAAATCCTGCTGGGGTATCATGCAGGAAGCCGAGGTACTGTAAGTCCCCATGATCCCTAGCGAGGTGGCCTAGCTTTGGGTACTGGTGGCCTATAGCCCGTGTTTTAACTCACTCACTCACTCACTCACTTGGTAACTCAGCACCATGGCCGTGCTCATGGGTTTCACCAACGTGGCCAAGTCTGTATTACCTGCGTCACACACGCCGTGATACAGCTGAACCAATGTTCAAAGCGGCGGTAATCCCAACACACGCACGCTTCAAATTATGGACATTTTCTTTACACAACGGTGTAGACCTATATCATACACGAGCCTACATTGTGCATTAGATGTTGGTGTTGAAGGTCACTTATACAGGTTGTTGAGACCTTTAATGATATTCTGTTTACACGCAGGTACATGCCTTAGCCATTTACAACTTTTGTTAAATCTATACAAGCACAGTATGGTCCTAACCGACCAAACGTCATAATCGGGCCTAACCAGAGTTGGTACCCCACGCCCAGCGGATCCCGGAACGGCAAAGGGACACAACTGAGGTAGGTCATCGACTTTCGCAGCACTAAGCCACTGGGCCACCGTGTCCTCACTGGAGGAGATGGAGGAGACTGTTATGTCATAGATCGGGTATCTTATACTTAGGGGTCGGTTGAACCATCAGTTATGATGCGAGACAATTTTGTTTGTTTGTTTGTTTGTTGTTTCACGCCGCACTCAGCAATATTCCAGTTTTATGACGGCGGTCTGTAAATAATCGAGTTTGGACCAGACAATCCAGTGATTGACATCATGAGCATCGATCCACGCAATTGGGACCGATAACATGCAACTACCAAGTCAGCGGCCTGACCACCCGATCCCGCTTTTACGACAAGCATATAGTCGCCCTTTACGGCAAGCATGGGTTGCTGAAGACCTATTCTACCCAGGATCTTCACGGGTCCGAGACAATTTTGAGAACACTTGCTTACTGTAGAACAGATCAACGCAAATGACATACATTACGGAAAAATAGTTCACATAAAGCCTCGGTATACCAACGCTTATATTGGCTAAATGCATCGGCCCCCCAGGCGCACACGAACGCAGATGCAAAGGTCGTTAAGGTGAAAGTAAGTCCCGGGGCATGTAACGTGGAATGTGACAACCGTCAGTTGAACAAGCTGCCAGTTGCACATTCAGTCACTTGTTGACAGATTGAGTCTGTACCGTGATGTCTGTATCTCTCCCACTGAAGTGACCATTTAGTTTACAGTCACAATTTCTCGTCAACTAGGTTATCAATTCAAAATGTACCGTTCTCTGATGACGTCATAATCACATAAAGAACAAGATGCTTCAAAAATGTTTAGTTTTTGTTGATTTTTTTAAAAATTACTTATCTGTGGATCAAATAATTATTTTTTTAATTTTGGGGGAACGCCCATAACACTCGGATATCTCTAGTAACAAGTCTGTGTTTTAAAACGAACCCATTTGTTTTGTCTGTTGAATGATGTTGTTTACGAACGGGTCCGCTGCGGTGACAGTGGGCGAACGTACTTACACTCATCGGCCAAGCTTGCAGCAACTCCTTAAGTTCCGTTTGAGCGCACTGCTCGTAATCCGGAAACAAATGAAACCCTCAATGCTTGGGAAAATATGCTCATCGACAGATTGTATGTGTGCCAGGTTGTCAGTGCTTGTGTAGACTACCTGCTTGAGAACTAAAATCAACTAACTCAAGCTTCGGATGAAGATTCTCTGATAAGGAAATTAACCCTGGAACTTACTTCTCATTGTCTTGCTGGGACGGTAGGGAAGCCAAGTGGTTAAAGCGTTCGCTCGTCACGCTGAAGGTCTGGGTTCGATTCCCCGCATGGGTACAATGTGTGAAGCCCATTTCAGGTGTTCCCCGCCGTGATATTGCTGGAATATTGCTAAAAGCGGCGTAAAACCATGCTCACTCACTGTCTTGCTAAAAGGATACAATAATGACCCAGCTGATCGGATTACAGGTGATTTCTTTTAAGGATGTAGTTTTGTTTGTTTGTTGTGTAAGGCCACACTCGGCAATATTCAAGCTATATGACGGCGATCTGTAAATTATAGGGTCTTGACCAGATAATCTAGTGATTGACATCATGAGCATCGATATACGCAATTGGGATACGATGACATGTATCAACAAAGTCAGCGAGCCTGTCCACCCGATCCCGTTAGTCACCTCTTACCACAAACATGCATGAGTTACTGAAAAATAATTCTAACCAGGGTCTTCACGGGTTTAAGGATGTACTAGTGAGTGGGACGATTCAAAGTTTCAGAACTAACTATCTTTATATATTTCTTGTCATCTGATCATTTCTAGATAAAGTGAATGCTGCAGGAGAATTAATGCCTGACAAGTTTCGTAAATAGTTCAGGCCGTAAAAGACGCAGAAAAACATGATATTTTAGGGGACAAACAAATACAATGTTACAACAGACGAAAACGATTTGTTTTTTAATTTTGACTTTTGTTACATTCCCATTCGATTCCCAAATTGAAACTAATTCCCTGACAGGTAAACTATTTTGGAATGATAACAGAAAACTGGACAATTAATATGCTCAGTAAACAATCGGTCATGATTAAGATTACAGAATTAATTTCCAACATTTCATCCATCTATCATAACAACACTATAGGACAAATCCCTCGAATGAATGCCAGCGAATCCCAACGGGACGGAATAATTTCAAAATCAAATAGAAAACCTAGAACACGTTTTATCCGTGCGCTGGTATACAATGAACAGATCGCCAAAACGGAGCACGACACACCGCTCGACAAACTAGCTCAGCTCTCTTTGGGACAACAGGAGTGTTGACACGGCTGGAGAGGAATTCCGTGAAATGCGCTTGATACAGTAAATACTCGACTGTATCTGTCGGGGAGGGAATTCAACCATCATGAGTTAACTTCATCACTGTAGTCGACATAGTGATGATGAAAATGGATCTATCAGCCGAGTTGTGTCTGTCTTTTGGACTGTTTATTACGCTATTTCTGGGATGCAGGGGTGAGTATTTAAATCGTTAAATGGATATTTAGAGAAGGCGTTTCGTAACATAACAACATGGAGCCTTTCGTCCTAAACACATTGAACATATTTTTGGAAACTGAATTTGAATTCATTTTTATTTTGAAAGAAAATACTTCAAATGTTATGACCCGAGGGTGAGTCAATGTGAGCATTCTTGAGGCTCCGATCTAACTCTATACTTTACACAAACTCACACTTACTAAACTTGCGATCTAGAAAGATGTATGTGTCTGTCTATATTGCATGCCTCACTTGAATATCCGTATATTTGCAGTGTTCGAAATACCTGCCTGCCCGACCGTCCGAGACGGGTTGATTTCAACTCGGGCTGTCAGATTTTCAAATCCCCCTGCCCGACGGTCGGGTTATATTTCATATGTGACAATATTCTAAATATTTCCAGATGATAATCATTAATTCACATGTAAAGATGAATGATAAAATGTAACCAAAAAGAAACCCCGTTAGCTTATCCTGAGAAACATATGATTATAGTGGGCAGGCAGGTTTTGGTCAGGGCTGGCAAGTATTTCAGCTAGCCAGTCCTGTGGTCTGGCTGAAATTTTTGGGAGTTTCATACCCTGATATTTGTCAATTCTTTTTGAAATTTTATTGTAAAAAAACTCCGTGAACTATTTTCAATAGTGTCGGAGAACCTATTACTAATTTTAAATTCATCGAAGTATTGTCTATTAAGAATTGTAATTAAGTAGAAACGCGAAAATCTTAAATAAGACTAATGCCATGACAAAAAGGGTTACTTCCTTCCTTTTCGAATCTGTTTTTAATTTCTGGAATTAGTTCACAGCTTGACAAGAAGGAAGTCAGGATTCAATGTGTGTAGGCATTATAGTTGATGGATCCGCAAAAGTGTGCTGACAAATACACTGGCTATCTAACCAACCCTTTGTTGTGTTAACCTTGATGAACAACAACGTACATGTAGGTTTATGATCAAGTCAAGTTAACGCTCAAGTCCCATGGAGCGAACATTACGTCACACAGGGCGAGGGGTCTTATGTTCATCGAAGTCCGCGTTTTGGTGAGAAGTACTGCCGCTATTGTCGGTCTGTCCGGAAAAGGCGGCTTCTGATGGAGTGTGATATTCAGTGGTAATGCTGTAGAGTAAGTGTGACATATTTATGATATTAGACTAACATCTAATCTCTGAAATGAATATATTTTACAGTAAAACAGTTGTTAAATTATAGTTATGAAATATAATAAAGGAGCCCAGAGACTTTCTTCCTTTTCAGCCTGATACGGCAGTAACCTAGACTTGCCAAACATTATAGACTTGCATGGGCTGTATTGGATATATTTGTTTCAGGGTCTGCATGACAGACTATTATGAATGATACACTAACAGTTTTTCATTATACATTCAATGTTTGGGGGCAATCAGGTTACTGGTCGCGACACTGATCGGTCGAGTAGAAGTAGTGGTAAAAGTGCAATTAAGATATCGTAGTTTGTTTGTTTGTTCTTTAACGCCACACTCAGCAATATTCAAGTTATATGATGGCGGTCTGTAAATAATCGAGTCTGGATCAGGCAATCCAGTGATTGACATCATGATCTTCGATCCACGCAATTGGAATACGATGACATGGACCAACCAAGTCACCGAGTCTGACCACCCGATCTCGTTAGTCGCCTCTTACGACAAGCAAAGTCGCCTTTGCTGAAGACCTATTCTTCCCCGGATCTTCACGGGTTGGATATAGTAGTAGTAGTAGTAGTAGTAGTAGTAGTAGTAGTAGTAAAAGTAGTAGTAGTAGTAGTAGTGGGTGGGTGGGGTGGGAAGGTGACTTGTTTGATGTAAGTCATCATATCCCAAGTGTATACCGATGCTCATGATGTCAATCACTAGACCTCCTGGCTCGATGTTTTAGAGACCACTACAACTGGAATATTGCTGAGTAAAAATAGTAGTTTGTGTTTCATTGTTAAACGCCACACTCAGCATTATTCCAGTTATGTGACAGGTCACCCGCTAGTAACCGCCTCTTAGGGCCAATCATGCATATTAGTAGTAGTAATAATATATAGGATAGTGGTAGTAGTATTAGTAGTAGTAGTATTAGTAGTAGTTACAGCAGCAGTAGCAGCAGCAGCAGTAGTAGTAGTAGTAGTAGTAGTAGCAGCAGTAGCAGTAGTAGTAGCAGTAGTAGATATGCTAGTAAATATATCAGACGTCGGTTTGTGTTGCAGCAGAAGTGGCAGTTCTACGTCATGGTGTTAGTTACTGGTGGGCGAGTGTGTCAGGACTTGTGCTGGTAGAGGTATGAGGAGTTGAAGTTGGTGCGTGTACGATCTAGAAGTATATCAATCTCTTTCAAATCAGATGTTTTACTCCGATACCTTACCTCTCTGCGTAGGATCTGAGGACACCGTCACATAATAGACCCTGAGGGAACTTTAACCGCCCGATCTAAATGAAGACCTCGATTAAGAAATTCGATTTATACAAATGAAAACCCAAATATAATTGTAATTCTCCTTCGACGGTACTCCGTGTTGGGTGTAGATGTCACGACGCGCAGAAACGACAAGGTGTATGAATAAGCCACAATATATTGGAACCGTTATAGTTTTCTACTTTCGGAACTTCTCGGTTTAGTTCGTTTTCGAGATACAGAAATCAGATATACTGGTTTGAATTCTTCGCTTACTCGTACCGAGAATTTAGGATTGGCTGATCAGATCTTATCATAGAGAGGTATCACGTTGGGTCATAAGAGTGAGTGAGTGAGATGGGTTTCACGCCGCTTTTAACAGTATGTTACAGTTATATCACGGCGTGTCAGCTTAATGTGGGAGGAAAGCCCGAAGTGATGCAGGTCTCAGACGTTTACCACTTCGGTGAAACCCCCGAGCACGGGTAAGGTGCTGACAAATTTAGAAACATAATCGGGGTGAACCGGGATTCGAACCCACAATCATAGGTTTCTGGCGTGCCCAAGGGACAGAGAATCGTGGCGCCTTAGACGACTAGGCCACCTGTGCCCCCTGGGGCATAAGATCTGATTTTAATGACATTGAAAGAAGACAGTAGCAGGGGTCGTAGTATAATTCAGTATCAGTATTCAGTCGATACTGGTACAAGTAGTGATATCAAAATCAACTGTAATATAATGATAGTAGAAACGTGTACTAGAAGTACGAGAGGCTTGAAGTAGAAATATTAGTAGAAGTAGTCGTAGAATTAGCAGAAGACGTATTTGTAATGTAGTGATGGTTAAAGTAGTAGAAATAACAATACTAGGCGTAGCAGGAGTTACTTACAGTAAGTATTCACTAGGTGGGGACATATCCCGGATGTCGAATAAGGGGGTGCGCACGAGGTGTACAGCATCACAAGATAGGGTGATAAGGATAAGGAAGCGCAAAAGTTTTTGCGGTATTTCATTGCCAAGTTTCGAATAATTTGGTTATTTCTTGTTTAGTTTCCTCCAGCAAACCTGTGCTTGTCGTAAGAGGCGACTAACGGGATCGGGTGGGCAGGCTGACTGACTTTGTTGTCGTAAGAGGCGACTAACGGGATCGGGTGGGCAGGCTGACTGACTTAGTTGTCGTAAGAGGCGACTAACGGGATCGGGTGGGCAGGCTGACTGACTTAGTTGTCGTAAGAGGCGACTAACGGGATCGGGTGGGCCACCCGCTTTTGCTAACCAAATGTAGTATGTTGGAGGCAGTAAAATTCACTGAGAGAGAATTTTGTTATTTTGGACCCCTCCCTTTTATAAATGACGGATCCGCCCTTGTGTAGCAATATATGTGTTATATGCATAGACATGTTTGTAGGTTGAATAATCACCGCAGATTGCCTCAATGGGACATTCATACGTTGTTGTTCATGTCGGAGTGCCTTGCAATGACCGCCTCTGTAGATACTGTAATATTAATGACGCGTTTACCCATACTGTAGAATACACAGTACACATATGTCGCGATAAGCTGACCCTTTGGTCACGTGTGTGCATGTTGATGGGTGTGGCTCACACTGCCACATTGACTCTCTCAAAGAAACAATTTATCACTCTCAGCCCACGATATAAAGGGAGGTAATGATTAAGAGCCTCTTGACCGACCGCTAAGATAAACACAATTATTAAGACTCGTAAATTATTTAGTCTCTGTATTACAGGTCTGTTTGCTCGGGAAACTTTCGCAACGGATATTAATATGAGTCAGTTACAAACAATGTTTATGAGATGGGTCAAGTCTACGTTCATCCGGTAAAATCTATCTCCATATTTTTGGTTATAATCGTTGATGTACATTTCACTTTCCTTTTCACTTCCGTCTTGGCATCTTTCCAAATTAGACTGCAAGTGCGAAGACACGCCCTTGTGTAACATGACGTGTTGTGTATAAAGAAAGGAATATTCACACTACATTTCTCAAGATTCGAATTACATTATTATAGGAGCAAGGAAGCTTTTACTTGTAGGATGAATTTTAATAAAAGCAGATTAAAAAATAAAAACGCTAAAAAGATGTAAGAAATAAATTCATTTATCGTTAAGCAGCTTAAACGGTCACTGTTAATATACCATCAATATAATAATGGTTACAAGTTAAATCTGTGTCTTTCCGTTACCTCTGATTGCATATAACTGTCACCATGGTAATATCCCTTTTGTTCATTCCTGTTGTTTGAAAGTGACTTTTCAAAATGTCATTCTTCTTTAGAAATACCAAGAATTAGTTTAAAAGAATAATATGTATAACCTAATGCCATATTTGCATATTGACAAAAAGCGTTATGAAATTAATTAATACCACCCGCTTGCATTTGATGGTGACAAAAATACTGGAGTAGTTTGCATACGTTGTTCTACAGATAATTGCAATTTCTAAGTTTGATTTGCTTATATTTCCGTGCACTTTTACAAGTCTAATTTCAATGGAAGTTCATATAATACACCATAAAATGGGTTTTACACATTGTACCCATGTGGGGAATCGAA